GCCAGTAAAGCAAGCAAAACACTGGCTTGCATTCATAGATGCTTCTCGAGCAAATCCTGGGATGTCATTCTCCCCTTGTACTTGGCCTTGGTGAGGCCACAGCTGGAGGACTGCATCCAGTTTTGGACTCCACAATTCAAAAAGGAAGTGGAGAAGTTTGAGAGAGTGCAGAAGAGATCCATGCACATGATCAGAGGTCAAGAAAACAGCTCTTACGATGACAGGCTGAGAGCTATGGGACTCTTTAGCCTGGAAAAGCACAAGCTCAGGGGTGATCTGGTGGCCACCTATAAGTTATCAGGGGTGTTCACCAGGATCTGGGGGAACAATTGTTCACCAAAGTGCCCCAAGGTTGAATGGATATAAACTCCTGCAAGACCGTTTCAGGCTGGACATAAGGAAGAATTTCTTTACTGTCTGAGCCCCCAAGGTCTGGAATAGCTTGCCACCGGAGGTGGCTCATGCACCTACGGTGAATGCCTTCAAGAGAAATTTGGATGCTTATCTTGCTGGGATCCTATGACCCCAGCTGACTTCCTGCCCTTTGGGCAGGGGGCTGGACTCGATGATCTTCTGAGGTCCCTTCCAGCCCTACTGTCTATGAAATCTATGAATATACCCATAGAAAGAGAGAGACATTTCCTGGTTGATATTTCCTGACTTTCAGTATCTTGATTAAGCTATGTAAGCTTTTTGGGGCGTGGGCCATCATTTTGTTCCGTGTTTTTGTGTTTTGCACAATGGGGTTCAGGAGATTCTTGTAGGTTGTTTCATGTTGGGATCATTTAGGATAAAAGGTGCCATATTACAAATAATTTGATCCCGTAAATGCAGTATGAATATGTGTGGTCAAATATCAAGAGCTCAACCCACTGGAGAATCACTGGAAATCTAGCCATAGGACCTGCTGAGCCCTGAGCACTTCTGAAAGATCTGGTCATTTATTTTATTTGCTGGTGAAATGGGAACTGAGCTCTGCTGAAAATCTAGCCCTGATGGAAACTTTGCATCTTGGCAACCCAGGCTTAGTCAGGCACTAGTACTTCCAGGCTAAGTACAGACAGTCAACAAGCTGAAGCCTGAATTGATTCAATCTTCATAGTCTAAGCTTCATAGATAGAAGCAAGTGAACAGACATTCACTTTTAATTCCTGAAACGCAGCCACATGCCTACAATGGGTCAGGCCAGAAGCCAGGGGGCACTACAGCATGCCTCCCTGCTGGCCTGGAGCACACAGCTTGGACCAAAGCTAGCCTGCCCACCCTGTGGGGGAGGTGCAAAGCATCCTGGGATGCTGGGGGGCTATGAGTTAACTTGAATCTGGAGGGGATCTGGGACAGAAGTTCAATAAACCGATTTAACCTAAATCAGTTAAGTTCATCCAGGTTTATCGGTTCCAGCCACTTTGAAAGTGATTTATACACACTGAAGTTCAGTTGTGTTACAGATCTGAACCAGCTTCCGATCACTTACACTGGTTTATGTGCAACGTCTGTCCCCAGCCCTAAAGACAGAACGAGAAAATGAGTGAGCTTATGGAGGGTTTTGATTTCATGTATATACATACGAATCTTTACCAAGCAATTCTTAAATTATCTTCAGGGTCATCAGGAGTTAGAGAAGCAACTGTCCCTCCTTCCCCGAGACAGTTACAACCTCCTCAGCTATATCTGCAGGTATGTTCTCCCTGTAGTGTGCACACAGCGCAGCTTTCATCTTGGTGGCTGGAAACTTATGGGTCAAACCATAACTGGGCAGAAAGGAAACATCAGGCTGCCCTGGGATTTTTGCATGTTCCCCTTAAGATTTCAGATGCCAAAGCTGCGTGGGGAGCATCTGTTATAGATTTGTACCAGGAGAGAAGAGATAAATGAATCTGGGAAAAAACGTCTTCCAGATTGCCCCAGGGTTTTCTTACAGTTTGAAATTATAGGCATAAGTGCTGAGAAATGGGCTGTAACCACCCTCTTTGATCCAAATGCCCCAGGACATAGGGGGAGTCTGAAATCTGACCCTGGATTTGAATCTGAATATTAAAAATGGGCTCTTCTCTTTGTAAAATCCCAGATCTAGGCACTCCGGGTTTTGTGGTTTCATGGATCTTTTAATAGAACATACTTTGAGCACCGGGGCAATTTAGAGATTTCTTCCAAAGCCATCTGGTATGTTAATAGTGTGTTTCCATGTGAAAACAGTTGAAGGGTTCTCACCAATTTTGAACGGCCTGTAAGTCAGAGGGAAACTCTTTAGGTTTAATTTAGCTCTGGTAGATGCAGACTTTGGGCTGGCTGCTGGGAAAAACTGAAGGAAATTCTCTGGCCTGTGCCATGCATGAAACTAGATGATTGGAATGGCCCTTTCTGGTCTTAAAAGCTAAGGACTTACTGATTTCAGCAGCATTCTGTGGGCAGTTTGCACCAGAGTTTATTGCTCCTGGGCATGCCGTTTACACATGCTCCCAGGACCGCAGCATGTTGAGCTGTGGCAAAGCAGCCCTGGCTGGCAGGGGGCCCTGGGGGAGTTAGCCAGCAGGCAGCCCCCACACTGAAGCACCTTCATGCTCCAGCCAGCCCCCTCAGCGTCTACACGTACATTGTGGCAGAGTAAATAACTCCATCATAGGATAGCACTTGTGTCTGGCAGTACCGTCCTACATCAGAGTTAATTAGTTTATTCCATCCTAATAGCATTGCACGTGTAGATGATGACATTTTGCTGCAGAACTAATTAGGCAACTCCACAGTGTCTTGTGTAGATGCTCCCAGTGAGTATAATTTTTCCTGGTATGTGTGCTCACATGTTGAGTAATGTGAACCAGTGAGAGTCAAAACTGAGGACAGCACCAGCCAAAATCTTACACAGTGAAACTGCTGAGTTTCGCCCAGCCCAACCTGGCCCTGGTTGATGGTTCATTTTTCTCTGGCAACATCATTAAGAATCAAACGAGACTTTGTTTCTTTTTGTTTGTTTCTGAGGGGACATATCTTCTCATTGTTTGACAGTTTTGGCTTCTGTAGTGATGCCTTGCAGACAAAGCCCCTGTGTGCACTGCAGTGGAAAGAGCCATGTAGCTAGATTTCTGTACTGGGGCTTAGAGGCAGAGCTGGGGTATTGTTAGGATTTTACAACCCCAGCTTTGTAGAGTTTGTCTGCAGACTATTCATTTTCCAACTTGGAATGTTTTGCGTTTGGATCCTGGCAGGTTCCTACATGAAATACAGCTCAACTCCAGCGTCAACAAGATGAGTGTGGATAATCTGGCAACTGTGATTGGAGTGAATCTCATCAGGCCAAAGATAGAAGACCCTGCTATTATTATGCAAGGTATTATGGACTCCAGTAACAGGTCAGGCAGCCCCCCTCTCTGTATTTAAATGATCCCTGAATCCAGAGTCTTAAAACAATAAACTTAAGTCAGACACATAATCTATCTTTCCTGGAGAGAGTAGGTTCTGCCCAATAACATTTAGTCATAATAAGGCAGTCAGGCTATAAATACCTCTACAATAATAAAACTTAGCACTTACACTGTGCATTTAAAATACTTTATAAAAGTGGGTTAACAGTGTTTTTGGCCTCTGGCTGAAAGGCTTTGGGGAAGCTGTGTCATTCTTCCTTACCTTTAAAAACACAAGAAGCTCATGGAAATAGCAACCAAGCTGACCCGTGCAATTGTACTTGCAAGCAAGGGGGAAAGTACATCACAACTAATAGAAAATAGCTTTTGATCTGCACAGAGGCAGACCTTTGCTCTTGAGCAATGTAGTTGGCCTGTATGTTATGTAAGTCCCAGACTCTCTCCAGGGGTGAATTTCACCCAAAGCCCAAATTCCACTCCGCTTTTAATAACATGTATGGTATGGTAGGATAGGAAAAATGTAAGCCTGCATGCCCCATTTAAAATAATGGCATGAGTTCCTTCCTCATCCTCAAGTGTCATAGGCTGCTCAGCCAGATATGTTATTGGCTTTGGTGCAACCAATACTGCATTTTCCATAATAAACCATAGAAGTAGAACCTCTCTTGGTTTGCTTCAGCTCAATGGATTCCTGGCTCAGTTGCTCAATGAGTTATTCCTTGTTGCTATAGGCCATGTCCCTTTCCCATTGCAGGCACACCCCAGATCCAGAAGGTGATGACCGTGATGATCAGTGAGCATGCCAATCTCTTTCCCATGTCTAAAGATGTGCCTCCATCTCCACCCGCGCAAAAGAATGATTCCAAGAAGGCCCCCATACCACGCAGCTCTGTGGGCTGGGATGCTGCAGAAGACCCACCAGCAGCTAAGCCAGACACATCAACCAAGGGCCAAACAGTAAGACATGATCCTATGGGAAATGATCATCATGTGTTTTTTGTAAATGCTCTCTTAATATTAAGGGAGTTTAGGTTGTGGCCGTGTTGATCTAAGGCCGTAGGCAGACAAGGTTCTTTGGGTAAATCTGATATTTTTTATTAGACCAATTCAAATAGTTGGAAAAATTCTTCTTAGCAAGCTTTTGGGTTTAAATAACCGTTGTTAGGCAGAGGAGGCATCTGCAGTAGGTGTGTGCTTTTCCTGGATGTTCTTAATAGTAAACTTGTTAGAGAATCAAATAACTTAAGTCAAGATGTTCCCTGGAAAGCAGACAGTACCCAGAGAAAATTCACCTTGATGGGAAATTGAATTTACAATTAAAAATGTTTTGGTAGAAAAATTTGAAGAAGCATTAAGAAGCATTAAGCAATAAGTATTAGCTTGTTATGATGTGACTTTAATAAACCATATGACTGCATGTTTACCTCAGAAATATGTATCTTGGGTGAAATTATCCTAATGTTCATCACTCTGTTTCAGAGAGAAAACGTAGATGTCAGCAGTTCCACTGCTTCTGGAGAAACTGCCAGGTTAGGCATAGCTGTGGAGGATAATTGTGTGAACCAACCCACAGATACTTTAGGAATGTGGAAAGCACAATCGAGGAAAAGAACTCAGACCCTCCCCAACAGGAAATCTTTCCTAACTTCTTCCTTCAAAGGGGAAAAAGCCAGCAATGATAAAAATAACATATTCAACAGTGAATTTTGGAAATTTTCTGCAGGGAGCCCACTTTCTCCCCTTTCTCCAACAGAGGGACATAAGAGAACATTGTCTCAAAGCCTTTTTAGGCTGATTGACACTCAGCGTGCTTCAACCTATGATAATGTACCTACATCTCAGACAGAAAGTGGGGAATGCACTAGCCTGCCAAGCACAGCAAGCAGCAGTTCTGAGAGAGATTTTTTATCAAGCCAAAGCCCTAGCCATGTGCACAAGGAGACATCAAGTCCAGCCACTGATCCTAAGGACTGTTGCTCTGATCAGGAGGATCACGAAATCCTACAGCTAAAAAAAGAAATGGAGATGCAGAAAAGGGACTATGAGGAACAAATTAAGAGGTAAATGGTTCAAAGTACAGTCTTCTAGAGGTTGTAA